AATGTGTGCGTAGATAGTGAGTAATTGATTTGCGGTCAGAGTATTATTGACGTTCGTTGTTATAGCGTTTGTTTAGCGCGATTGTTGAAGTTGAGTGTATCGGTTAAGTTATATTCGGAAAGAATAAACCAGTTTTATTAAGTAAAGACTTGTGTCGTTTAAGTTTCGTCGGAACGAAGTTACGGAAAATCAATTAACAACGGTGACGTAACAATATTATTTAAAAGTATGTTCTATGGATGGACCATTTTTGTCACTATCTACTAAAAAGAGAATAATGCATGTATGCTTGTAACAAGCTTGCACTGACACATGCCTTATTAATATTATAGCTTTGTCTAAGTAAAAGCTAAAAAAGTACATAATGTAATAAATTTATGCTGCCATTTTTTCGCCTTGGAGTTGGAGTTAATACATTGTAGACGAAGAGGGTGTATTGTCTATTATGCATACATTAATAGATTCTACATAAGGATTGTCAACTATCGCTGCGAATTGTGTCTCTGTAGTTGCGTTTATAATGCCTTAAATTTCATCACACGTTATACTGTTGCTGCGTCATTTTTGATTGATATGTGCACATTCTCACAAACTCGGACCTAAAAATCCGATAAAGGGGATAAGATATTTGTGAAGTTTTGGCTTTTAACAGATATTTGTGATATAAGCGCAGATGATTGGACCCCATGTACTCAATATGAAATAAAACAATATTTTTGTATCACTCAGTGACTGTAAGTAATCAAATTTTGTCGTTTGAAATTCTTACAAACGTCTGTATTTAATATTCAATGATTTGGTAATTATTATTAGTACAAAGTGAATGTCATGAAATAAAACTAAATCAAAATTCAAACTGTTAAGTGCTAACTAAATATATATAAAGTAGTAGTACTGTGAGTTTAATTGAAAACAAAACAAAGAAGCAACTCATATACAAAACAAAAATCATAATCCTACTATACACTAAAATCATATCTCCATCCCTAACGCACTTGTCACAAATGCTTTTTGAACAAAAAACTAGTGAGGTCCCATATTTATTTTACTCTGGCTACGCCCATTTATGATACTCGTCAGAATCCTGCTTTTCAGAGGTATTTGGATAAATGAACACAAAACCCTACTTTTGGCCTCCAACGTTTGAATTTGAGGTTTCTTCCAAATAGTTATTTTTGGTTATTATGGTTTCAGATCTTTAAGACACACTGGAGAGAATATCCAGTTCAAGTGGATTACCATTTTCACTCTACTTCAGTGCTCTGTGCTTCTATAAACCTTACTCTCTCTTTTCTGAAAACTTGGTAATGGGAATTTACTGCCTGATTGCTTGGCTTACAGTGAGTTTCAAAGTTGTTGTTTTTTTTATTTTGAGCATTTATACTCATGATTTGTGATCTATCTACCAGAAATTTATGCCCTTTACTCCCATATTTATTCAAGTTTATACGATCTCACTGTTTATTCTGCTTCTTTATGTTATTCTTGTGTTCTACTGGACTGAGAATTTCTTCTCCTGGATCTTTCCTTTTTTTTCTAATTTGCATTTCCTTCAGTTTTAACTATAGTGAATTTAGTAACCATCCTCTTTTGGTGCAGGGGTGTTTCTCCCTCCATTACTGCCCTGTTCATCTGATCAGTAAATTATTTAGATTTAAAATACTTTGGAGTTAACTCACTACAAAAGTAGTCCTTTCTTTCCTTTCACCACCACTTTCTTTTTCCTTAGATATTTTTTTATTTTTCTACAAAAAAAAAGAATGCCAAATTTCCTCTTGACACTACATTTGGTCCAAGCATTAAATCTGTCATTTTGTTGACAACTTTTACTTTCATGCCTCCTGCTGAATTAAAGATTTTATTTAATGATAGATAAAGTATATTTTGCATACCACTAAGTAGGCTTATTTCTTGTATTTTCCCATTTGCAAAGTGCAGCATTTCATTTCGGATACTAATGCAACACAACTTGTTCCTTATTTTACCACAGATGTTTTGTGAAACCTGAGATCTGAACTTGATGAAAATACTTAAAATCGTAAAACATGAACAAAAATGTTACTTACTTTAGAATTGTTCAGATATCAATTTTAGCTGTAACACTTCAATACCTTAACATAACATTAAAAGACAACAAGGAACCTTTTGGTCCATCTAGGCCATTATACTCAGTAAATTGAACACTGAAAACTCAAAGGCAGCCCTTGTCATTCAAATACCTATCAAATTTTCCCTTAAGCTCCCTTATATTAACTGCATCTACCACATCTGTTCCAAAGGCTAACCACCCCTTTAGAAGTATAAAGCTATCTTTGCAGAAGATGACTCTTACCATGCCAAAATTTATAGTTGTGTCCCCTAGTCTTAGCATTTTCTCCTTTAAATAAAAAAAAATGATGTATCAATGTCCTTTAAAATTTTAAACACCACAGTCAGATCCCATTTAACTCCTCTTTTTTTTCAAGAGAAAACTAGTTCAGAGATCTCAACCCGTCTTCATATGACAACTTTTCTATCTCAAGTACCATCCTAGTAGCTCTCTTCTAAACTATTTCCAGCAATTCAGTGTTAATTCTAAGATATGGATCCCAAGATTGAATAGATTATTCTAAATGTAGCCTATACAATAACATTATAACTTCATTAGACTTGTATTTAGCATTTCAGTAGATGGAACCAAAAATCCTGTTTGCACTGCCACTAGCAACAGCACATTGTTTGGATGGCTTAAGAGACTGATGAGCCAGAACAGTTAGATATTTTTCTTCCATGACACTGTTAAGGTTATTCCCATCAAAATTATACTCATAATTTAAACTGTCATATCCCATGTGCATTACCTTGCATTTATTATAATCAAAGTAATCTGCCATTTATTCACCCAAATTGCCAAATAATCCAAATTCTTTAGTAAAGCAGTAACATCCTCCTCATAGCCAGCAACAACCAAAAATTTCATGTCATCTCTGCCCTGGTTTAAGTCACGTTATCTTTTGTCTCTTTTATAATGTGGAACTCTTGCTGTATTATTTGTTCTCAAGGCTTATTTCCACTTTGAACACTTAGTGTGATTGATTACTCTGAAATAGTCTCAAAAATCTGCCTGATTTTGCCAGTCATAACCAACCCAACACTAGTAAAAACAAGAACGGTAGATTTACTGTCTACAGTTAACACCACCTAGTGAGATTCATCAGAAATGTTGGACTTGTTTAGGGTTTCAGTATGAAAAATATTTAGTGAAAAATACCATCAATACAAATGTACAAAACTCTAAAAAAATTTGTTTTTAAATAAAAATATTTAAAATAATAGATATAAAATAAGAATATCTGTTTTTGTCATGATTATCTAGGTTTGAATACTGCCCTGGTACCAATGTACCTATCTGAAATATCCCCTGTGTCTCTGCGTGGAGGGTTAGGTAAGAACTGTTTTGTAATATCTTCTTTTCCTTTTAGTATTACAAAACAATTTGGGTTTCAGAGACAGAGAGAAATCAATCATGGAATGACTCTAGAGATATATAATAACTATGATATATGTGATATATTACTGCATAATTGCCATATTTTTAGCACTGATAATACACTTTCATGCACACTGCTGAATGTTTAAAGAGCATGCCAATTTGTCATACCCTGCCATTTTACCCAATGTTACTCCTCCCTCCCCTACTGTCACCACTTTTCTATGATTATTATCGTTGATATAATTGTTTGAATCCACTTAGACATGATTTTAAAGAAAGAAAGGAGATATTGTTATACATGTAAATGTGACTAATCATTGTTAGATATCTCAAAGATATGACACTATTCAACATAGTGACAGACTAGACATTGTATCATCTACATCTGACACACTAACTGACAATACTTTGCTACATCTTGACAGACTAGACAGTGTATCAAGTCTACAAATTGACAGACTACTTATGGTACGATGCTAGATTCTGACAGACTAGCTAAAGATATAATGCTACACCATGACAGACTAAGCAGTGTATCAAAAATACATCCAAACATACTAAGCAGTGTACCAACACTACATCCTGATGGACTATGCAATATATCAACATTACATCCAGACATACTCAGCAGTGTATCAACACTACATCCTAGCATACTAAGCAGTGTACCAACACTACATCCTGATGGACTAAACAGTGTATCAACATTACATCCTGATAGAGTAAGCAGTGTATCAACATTACATCTTGATATACTGAGCAGTGTATCAACATTATGTTCTGATAGACTAAGCAGTATATCAACATTATGTCCTGATAGACTAAGCAGTATATCAGCATTAAATCCTCATAGACTAAACAGTGTATCAACATTATATCCAGACATACTAAGCAGTGTAGCAACACTACATCCTGATAGACAAAGTAGTATATTAAAACTGCATCCTGACATACTAAGCAGTGTACCAACATTACATTGGGATAGACTAAGCAGTGTATCAACATTACATCCTGATATACTAAGCAATGTACCAACACTACATTGAAACTTACTAAGTAGTGTATCAACACTACATCTTAACATACTAAACAGCATATCAACACCACATCCTGACATACTAAGCAGTATATCAACACTATATCCTGATAGACTAAGCAGTGTACCAACACTACATCCTGACATACTAAAAGCAGTGTATCAACATTACATCCAGGCATACTAAGCAGTGTATCAACATTACATCATGATAGACTAAGCACTGTATCAACACTACATCATGACATACTAAGCAGTGTACCAACACTACATCCTGATATACTGAGCAGTGTATCAACACTACATCTTGATAGATTAAGCAGTGTATCAACATTGCATCCTGCTAGACTAAGCAATGTACCAACACTACATCTTAACATACTAAACAGTGTATCAACACCACATCCTGACATACTAAGCAGTATATCAACACTACATCCTGATAGAATGAACACTGTATCTAGGCTACATTCCAACTTACTAATCAGTGTATCAAAACTACATCCTAATAGACTAAGCAGTGTATAAAGACTACATCCTGACAGATTAGCTGATGATAGTTTGCTACATAATTACAGACTAAATACTGTATCAAAACTACATCTTGACAGACTAACAGATGGCACTATGCTGCAGTTTGACAAAAAAGATGATGATACTATATTATATCCTAACATACTACATGATATAGCAGAGTATCCAGGGTTCAGACAATTCATTGTGCCTTTCCAAACACACAACTTATTTTTGGTTTAAACAAACTGAATAAATTGGGCAATAATAACCTCAAAAACTTTTAATTTTGATCTTTGAAGCTATGCAAATGTAAGTTATGCATACCAAAATAGCAGATGTTCATCTTAAATACTTTTACAGACTGGACTGTTAATATGTAATATGTTACACTGTTTTTCCATCTTTAATTCACTTACATCAAATTAATATTCAGATATTTTTATATTGCCCATATTGCTAGAAATCAGCTGCAAAGAAGTTAGTTGGTAGAGAAATTTTAGTCAATTCAAAACTGATAACTATTTTTGCACTTCCTTATAGTATCATTGGCAGTGGGGTTTGAGAGGGTTCAGCCAAACCCTTTGTTTTTGTGTTGTAAAAAAAATTATGCTAATTTAAGTCTAGCTCCCCATACAGTATTACAACAGAATGATGATTTGTTTACTTTTCATTTGATGTTTGTGGATTTTATGTGAACAGCTATGCAATTGTTTAAGCTATATTTCATGCAGAATTGCTTCCAGATTTAATCTCATAGCACTTATTTTTTTAACAATTTTCTGGGGGACATGCCCCCAGACCCCGTGCCATTACCATGCTTTGCATGCTGATTGTGCTTCACACAATATGTGTTGGCTTTGATCTCACAAATTAGAACCCCTCTTTCAAACATTCTGCATAGAGCCTGAAAGTTAATAAATATCATTAAAGGTGAGAATAAAAGGACAGTTAAGTGCTTTTAGGTTAAACATTTCTTCATTCAAGTAATTGAATTTCCAGTAATATTTCTTTTAACAATGAATTTAGTTAATTTTTGATAGATTTCTTTCATATTTAGAGTATTCTTATATTACATGTTATTATCACAAATATATATATATATTCTTTTAACAGTATAATATAACATTCTCAATAGTGTGATATTATTTTCTGTTACTGTGCTAAAATCTATTAGGATTAACTAAAGCTTGTTGCAGATAGATTATTTATTTGTGAAACTATACATCACAATAAGACTGATAGTAATTTTTAACATATTAATCTATATCTTAATTCAGTTATGAAACATTTGGTTCACTTATCAAATTTTTTTTTCACAATATGATTTAACAGGAACAGTAAATCAGCTTGCTGTGACAGTAGGACTTTTGTTGTCCCAAGTTTTTGGAGTTCATTTTCTTTTGGGCACAACAAGAGGGTGGCCTTATCTCTTAGGTAAGAAATATGACAGAAGATTGTAAAAGAGTGTTAACCATTAAGAGAAAATTCTAGAAGAAATTTGTATTAGAAAAGTATGTACTACTAATATGGTATGTGTTGTTTCTTAAAATTTATATAAACTTTGGTTTAAAGCTGCATGGATACAAATAAGTACATTTAGTTTGAGAATTTTATGTTCATTGCTTTTGTAGTGGGTGGTTCAATAACTTATATTACCCATTAGGCTTCTGTTGATTCAATAACCTATATTATCCATTAGGCTTATGTTGGTTCAATAATCTATATTATCCATTAGGCTTCTGTTGGTTCAATAATCTATATTATCCATTAGGCTTCTACTGGTTCAATAACCTATATTATCCATTAGGCTTCTGTTGGTTCAATAACATATATTATCCATTAGGCTTCAGTTGGTTTAATAATCTATATTATCCATTAGGCTTCTACTGGTTCAATAACCTATAGTATCCATTAGACTTCAGTTGGTTCAATAATCTGTTAGGACAGCGGAAGTCACGTGACACGTAATGAGTATCTCGAATGTTCCTGAAGACTCGAGTGTTTGCTAGACACACGCTCTTATAGTATATAAGCCAGCAAATAAAGTGACGAGATAAATAATTGCAGACAGACAGAGACAGATAATCGAGTCAAGCCGTAAGTAAAGTGTGTAAATCGTTGTGTATTATAGCTTGTGTTTAAGTGAAAGTGACTGTGGAAATTAAGTGCATTGCAAAGTTGTATTGAGAAAGAATAAACTAGTTTTATTTAAGAAAGGACTTGTATCACTGAAGTTTCTGGGAAAGAATTTCTACGGGAAATTAACAAACGAACAGAGACATAACAAACTGGTGTCAGAGAGTGGGATGAAAAAAGAAGATGAAGATGGAAACCAGAGGTGGCAAATCAAACTACAGCTTAGCAGATTTGATGGCAGCAATACAAGAACAGCAAAAGAAACAAGAAGAGACAACAGCAGTTGCAAGAAAACCTGCAACAGTGGCAGCTCGAACAGCAAAATAAACATGAAGAGTGATTACAGCAGTTGCTGGAGGAAAAAGAAACAAGTAGAAAGATAAAATGAACAAGAACAGAGATAACAGCAGTTGTTGGAGGAAAAAAGAAAAGAAGCAAGAACAGTGATTACAACAGTTGTTGGAGGAAAAAAGAAAAGAAGCAAGAACAGTGATTACAACAGTTGTTGGAGGAAAAAGAAAAAAAACAAGAAGAGAGATTACAGCAGTGGCAAAATAACTTGCAACAGTGGTAGTTCGAACAGCAAAATAAACAAGAGAGATTACAGCAGTTGTTGGAGGGAAAAGAAAAGAAACAAGAAGAACGAGAAAATAAACAAGAAGAGAGACTACAGCAGTGGTTAGAGGAGAAAGAAAATAAACAAGAAGAGAGACTACAGCAGTGGATAGAGGAGAAAGAAAATAAACAAGAAGAAAGTCTCCAACAATTGAGAGAAAGCCAGAGTACACAAATGGAAAACATTAGTAAATTTCAAAGCCAATTAAATACATTAAAGGATGATTTATTGTCTTTTACACAAGGAGGATACATTAACCATTGACGTAATCAGCCCCAGACAATGGTAAGCCTCTTTCAGACCCCAAAGCTAAACCCTAATGCAGACATCTTCAGTCCCGTTAGAAGTCACATCCCAGATATGAATGTCAGCAATAGGGG